GGGGGACAAGGAGGGGGAGATCAAAATTTGTCAGATCACATTTAAGCACTACACACTCAACCTACAGGTCTACAAGCCACAATGGTGTCAATACATGCATGATGACATTGTCATGCAAACATTGCCTTCATGCATTTGTGCCTCGATGCCTGACGCAAGTAAGCGCATTGCATTGTGTTTGTTCCTCCATTCAACAAATCTATATAGCTGTAGGAGATGATCAGGTTGAGCCCGAGGGAGGGATCAAATCTGTCATCAGCCTTGAATCCTTTTGTACTCACAAGAGATCTAAGTCTGACCCCCTTTAACTTCTGTTGATTCTTATCTACCGTCAATTTGCCTTGGATGTTAGTAGTTCAGATTCTTGTAGAACGCTAGCAGGGAATAAACCTGTACTCATCTGAACAACCTTGGTTCCCAGATTGGGAAATCCTGCTGCCAACTTGTTTTGACTGTCAGTAGTTCAGATTCTTGTAGAGAGCTTAAGCTTGTGATACATCCTTGTATTCTTTTGACGTGCCTGGATTTCCTGGCCATAGCTGCCCATTTCATGTGAAGTGACTCTGGATGGTGAACCATAGTCGTAGCATTTGACGTACATACTTGCGTCAGGCATCAAGGGGCAAAGCCACACAGGCAGCAGTTACACGATGACACCATGACACGGGTATCATTCTTTTTGAAGGCCACGTGTTCTATGCGAACCCATGTGACACATTTCATCGGTGATTAACTCAACCCATTTTCTGAGTTTCAGACACGCAACCTCACGCAATTGGGTTGGGTTCGTACAATTCATTAAGCCACCTAAAAACAAACTAAATGCAACCCTGAAGCCAGGGGTGAAATCCAAATTTTTTTCCTTACCGGTTCTGTGGGCATCGCTTGGTGGGCATGGCAGGGGAAGGATACTACAAAATCTCCATTCCCACCCCACTCTGGGGCCAGCCAGAAGTGGTATTTGCCGGTTCTCCGAACTACTCAAAATTTCCGCTACGGGTTCTCCAGAACCTGTTAGAACCTGCTGGATTTCACCCCTGCCTGGAGCCTCAAAATCTTTGAGGAACCTACTTGTCTCGGAGTTCTGTTTGCTATGGGTGTATTACTTGGAACCCTGACACTAAAGTTAAGACTAACTAAGCAAGTCAGACCAGCCTCCCCACCCCAAAAAAGCAGGACATCTCTAGAGAGTGCGTAGGTGTGTAAAAAATTCTAGAAGGCACCTGCAACTGTGCAATTGCAGTCGTCGTCCTCCTCCTCCCCCTTTGTACATGGACTCAGCATTAAAAGTAGGGGGTTGGTCTCAGATTGTACGGTTGCAGGCCCTATTTGTTGTTTTCAACCCACAGATTTCTGCAAGAAAGCGGGTCAAGGAAATTGAAGCTCTCCCCCACCCCCACCTCCAATCCCAAGAAAACACAATTGTTGCTCCTGTAGCTTGCTCTGGTTTCGAAAAGAGAGCGGCTTTATATTTAAGGAGAGGATGGATGAAACCCGATCCCTTAACTAATTTCCTCGGCCTCTCCACGGACAAAGCATCCGCCATGCCGGGCTGTTATTTATTTATTTCCCAGGCTGCAAAGAGAGGCCACCTTATCTCTTGTGTCAAATGCCATTAAAGCCTAACGCTGGCGGAGAGCACGAGAAGAGACAGATGCTGGCAATAATCATGAATGGGTCATTATTTACAGAGGCTGCAATGAGGTTTTGGTTATTTATGACCCTTGAGAAAGCCAGGAAGAGTAGGTTATTGGGGAAGTCAATCATAACCACGTAGGAGCTTGTTACGTTGTTTAATAGTCTCTTCCTCTGGCGCGCGCACATAGGGAGGCGTGCTTCCCGTAACCTTCAGATCTGCCAGTCTTTCTCCATCTGCTCTATTTATTGCTCCACCGTGAGTCGATTCAGAACGTGGCCTCGGTGCTCTACCTGTTGCTGCCTTCCATAGAATGTAGAATCATAGGGTTGTAAGGGACTTCAGAAGTCTTCTAGTCCAACACACACACATACCCTGCTGAAGCTAGGAGACCTCATACTATCCCAGTCAATTGGCTGTCCAGCCTCTTCTCCAGCGATGGAGCATCTACAACTTCTGAAAGCAAAGCCATCCCACTGATTAATTGTTCTCACTGTCAGAAATGTTCTTGATTCTAGGTTGCTTCTCTCTTGAATGACCTTCCACCCACTGCTTCTTGTCCTGCCCCCCCAAGTGCTTTGGAATTACAGAATTATGGAATAACAAACAGAGTTGGAAGGGACTTTTGAGGTCTTCTTAATCCATGCCAGGAGATCCTATAACATTCTGGGCAAAGGGCTGTCCAATCTCTTCTTGAAAACCTCCAGTGATGGAGCACCCATTACTGATTGACTCTGGAATCACTCTTGAAATAGGTGGGCCCAATCAATCCGGTGCAGGAAGAGGGTCCTTCAGCATTCACTGCATTGGATCCAGACCAATATTGTGGTGCTGCTTTCCAAAACAGCTTCCCAAAATTATTTGCACAAGAAATTCCTCCTTAGTTCTAGGTCGGATCTCTCTTGAATGATCTTCTACCAGTTGGCAGCATGGAAGCTGCCTAATATGGTTTCCAAAACTGACACCAGTTGCTTTTGGTCCTGCCTTCCGGTACTTTGAAGAACAGGCCAATTCACTCTTCTTCTTTCGGTGTTGGGCTCTGCCACAAGATGTTGCCATCTCATGCTTACTGTTGGGAGTCCAGATATCCAGCATATTCTTCGTATTCCTCCTTTGCCTTTCCCCACATGAGAGAGTGACTCAAACACTCTCCCTGTCAGCATTCTGATGCTGCCATAAAAAGGAGGAGACGAGGCTTGACTTTTCACCTACTTATTTTCTCTGTAGATAATATCCCCTAGGAGATGGGATGGGAGGGGGGAACATTCCTGTGGGGTGAGGTCAGACGCTGGGGAGACTGACTTGGAAGATGGCCAATGAGAAGATGAGAATTGGGGAACGGAAAGGGAAGGGTTTGGGGGTCAGAGGGTTAGTATCGGCTACGACGAAGTCGGGGCCAGATCTGTCGTACTCAATAAATGGAATATTTCAGCAAAGATTAATTGTTTGGGAATGCAATTTATTTGAGATGACATCGAAACCTGACACTCCCCATCTCATGCTGAGGCGTTATGTGAAGTTCTGCTTCACATTTCATGCAAATGCAGCTACTGTGATTTGTAAACCAAACTTTTTTAGTGGGTTGTGGGAATTCTGCCAGGGTTGGTGTCAGAGGTGGGATTCACTTACCTTCCCTACCGGTTTCTAAAGGAGAGCGTGCGTGCATGCTCACTTCGCTCGCCCGCGCCACCTCTACACACACTCATGGCCTTCTGCGCATGTGCAGTAGTCACACATTACGTCCGGGTGGGTGGGCGGAGCCTCCCGGCAGTCGCCGCTACCGGTTTGTGCGATTCGGAGAGAACCGGCTGAATCCCACCTCTGGTTGGTGTATTCAGAAAACCACTGCCACATAAATCAGACCTTAGTTCTGGGTAAGCCCAGATTCTAGGTTTCATGGCCAAATGGCTTTCTTCCTCCTCATTGGTTTTGGAGGGCAAACCAAGCAGGCAAAAATAAGGGGAGATAGGTGGCCCCTCAGATAACCAGGACCTATGCCATGAAGGCTTTGTAGGTTACCAGGTAGTAACTTGAATTGTACCCAGAAGCCAACTGGGAATCGATGTAGCTTGCATAAAGACAGATGGACATAACAAGAAGTAACCATCATTCACACCCCTGCATTTTGAGCCAGCTGTGGCTTCTGAGTGGTTTTCAAGGGCAACCCCATGTAGAACATGTTGCAACAATCCCATCATCGATAGGTAAAGGTAAAGGTTCCCCTCGCACATACGTGCTAGTCGTTCCCAACTCTAGGGTGCGGTGTTCATCTCCATTTCAAAGCCGAAGAGCCAGCGCTGTCCGAAGACGTCTCCGTGGTCATGTGGCCGGCATGACTCAATGCCAAAGGCGCATGGAATGCTGTTACCTTCCCACCAAAGGTGGCCCCTATTTTTCTACTTGCATTTTTTACCTGCTTTCGAACTGCTAGGTTGGCAGAAGGTGGGACAAGTAATGGGAGCTCACTGCGTTACATGATAGAAGAGAATATATGTAGTTCAGGATTGATCTGTGGGGTACTTGATGCTCTCTGAGCAAGCCAACAACAGAGCCCAGAAAGCCCTAAGGACTTCTTGGTGACCATTATCTCTAGACCACATCCATGTGGTCTACTTGACCATGAAAGCAGAAAGAAGTGTGTCATTGCCATGTCAGACTCTGCTAGCTGATGGAAGACTCTAGGACAGCGATGTCCTCCACGGGTTAGTTAAGTAAACAAATGCAGAACTGGGGATGCAATTTTTACTGTGAAACATTGAGCTCTTGACATGATGAGATCAGGGATGGTGAACCGGATGTTAATTTTAATCTGGTTCGCCAAACCGGTTATTCCAAGGACTGGTTGACCCCACCCACCCCACCCTGCCCTTCCCCTCCCAGGAGTCTCCATGCAGCCCATTTTGGATGTCAGGTAACTGTAGGGTGCAAGCAGAGGCTCTCGGAGGGCAAAAAATGGGCCTACCGGAAGTTCGCAAATGGGCCCGTTTCTGGCCTCAGGAGTGCCTCCAGAGCCCGGGGCAGGCCGTTTTCGCCCTCCTGGAGACTCCAGGAAAGACTCTGGAGCCTGGGGAGGGCGAAAACACCCCCCACCATGTTGCAGGAGGCCAAGTAGGCCACACCCCCATGAAATTTTTCAATCCCACCCCTGGATGAGACCAATTCTAGTGTCTTCCTAATGTGACTGACTTTGCTGCTTTTGAAGATCCAAAGGCAGTTTCAGCTGAGGGGATCCTCTGGCTGGACAATGCCTTGGATCCTCCCTTCTAGGGCATCAAAGCCACCCCCACCCCCAGCTTTCTTCCAGGTGGCTCTGATCGTTGCATTTTTCTCTTACTCCGACTAATGAGAGGTGGCTTGTTTTTAGAAGACAGGAAGCTTTTTGTAGGCATGTTGGGGAAGCAACAAAGTGAGGACGACGTCCGGCGACTCTTCGAACCCTTCGGACAGATTGAAGAATGCACCATCCTCCGAGGCCCCGATGGAGCCAGTAAAGGTGAGGGGGGCAGATGAAATGGGAGGGTAGGTCAAAAATGGAAAGAAGGTAGGATGGGGGGAGGGTGGCGGCCTGTCAGGCCTGGAAGCCATCTTTTGCATTGGGCCTTCAGGCCTGCCACATTTACTACTGTGGGAAATTTGGAGGCGGGATTGTATGGAGCACGGGTGATATGTAGTCATAATAACATTCCTTTCTCAAGAAGTCAAGGTCATCTTGCCCTGCACCTGGAAGGCTGGAACTAGGAGGCATCTCCAATTGGGATGGTGCTTTGATTGGACCATGTGATGGACATGTGGGTGCAGGGGAAAGGGACTTGGACTTTCCTTTGGGTGGGGAAAACCTGGAAGCTTTCAGATTTGGGTTTTCCCAGATGGGCCAATAGGACAATAAAATGGAACTTTGAGGAACTTCAAGCCTTGGAGTCTTCTTTCGTTTGGGGATGTTAGTTGACATTACGATCCATATGTTTGTCAACTAGGAGTCTACATGGCACTATGCGAGGAGGACCAATCTAGAAGGTTGATGGATATTGATGAGATGTCTAAAGAAGTATCCAACCTGGGTCAATCTGATCTACTGTGTTCAATCCGTTTATGGATTTTAACCCCATTTCTGGGTTTGCATGATGCACTAGACCACTGAACAGCCAAGATCTACACCAGGGGTGTCCACTTTAAAACCTGTGGACTTCAACTCCCAGAATTTTCCAGCCACCAATGTTATTGGCTTGGAAAATTCTGGGAGTTGAAGTCCACAAGTTCTTTGTCGTAATGGATTGTGAAGACCAAGGGTATCCAACTTTGTGCCCTGTAACAGTTCATAGAATCCCATAATATTCCTAACATCATCTTGTTAAGGTCGAATTGCATATTCTGGAGGTGTTCTTTGCCACATTATAATGAGTTTCCAGGTAACAAACAGTCCTCAAGGTATAACCGCAACTGAGCCCAACTGAGCCCCAAATTTCTGTTGCTAAATAAAACAGCTGTTAAGTGAGATTTGGCCCTCCTTTACGACCTTTCTTGCCACAGTTGTTAAGTGAATCACTGCAGTTGGTAAGTTAGTAACATGGCCATTGACTTGGCTTGTTAGAAGGATGCAGAACAGGATCATATGACCGGGGACACTGTATGAGTCAGTTGCCAACTGTCTGAATTATGATTACGCAACCATGGGAATCCTGCAACGGTTGTAAATGTGGAAAAACAACCGTCATAAATCACTTTTTTCAGTGCTGTTATAGCTTCAAACAGTCAATCAACAAATGGTTGTAACTAGTTGAGGACAACCTGTAGTAAAGTTCAGCCTCCTCGTAAACTTCTTGTCTCTGGCCAGTCTGAGCTGGTTCTGATCAGAATCTTCCTATCAGAATCCTCACTCTTGCTTTGCAACTTCAAAGGACCTAAAAGCATTAATCGCAGGTGCTCCTTAGGAGTAAAAACAATGATCAGAGAGGCCCCTTTCTCCTGCTCCCATCAGGATAACAAAGGACGGAGAGGCAGAGGTAGAAGATCTGGCTCATATCCTATTTGACTCTTGCTTGTATAAGGGGGTGAGCAGTGGTGAAATCCTTTTGGTTTTGTCCGGCTCGCACGAACTGGTAGCAGCGGCGGCGTGTGGTTCGGCGAACTGGTAGCGGTGGCAGTGGTGAGGCTCCACCCACCTGCCCAGACGTTGTTTTTGACTCTGCACATGCGCAGAAGCCTTTGAGCATGTGCAGAGGGTCAAAAATTTGGACATGATTTTTGGGCATTTCCAAACCGGTAGGGAATGTAAGTAGATTTCACCCCTGGGGGTGAGAGACAGGTATCTTGTTCCATATACCAAATGAATGACCCACTGGGATCCCCATATCAAAACAACTTACTTTATATGCGTCCAGAACCTGAAAATAAAATTTAACACAGCACGGTCCTTAAAACAAAATGGTTCGGTTAAGATCTGCCTACCTGTGGGACTGATTGGGGTAAATTGTAAGGGTGACACCGAAAGATAATTTTAGGTCATTTTATTCTATTTTATATATTTATGTATTAAATTATATTGTAGCTTCTCTATTTAACCCACTCTTAAATTGTTTGCATAAGATTTTATTGGCGATATGTGTTTGCACCTTGTGCTTTGATATGGCCTTATAGGCTAATCAAAGCTATCATTTGAAATCGTATTTTATTCCAATTTCATTTCAAATTGTATTTTATCCAATTCCATTTTAAATTGTTTTTATCAGATTTTAGTAATAGGTTGTGTCTGGAACGCTGCACTTCGATATGGCCCGGGGGCTAATCAATAAAGTAAACTAACTATAACTATAAGGAAGGCGACTTGAAAAATTTGAACATTGCTACGGAGGCAAAAAAATAAAATTAAATTAAAATTAAAATTATGGTTCCTCGGCCTTTCCTTCAAACTGAATTGATACCTGAACGGAGTTGAACCTATTGGCCTTCCAAAAAGCAGTGAAGACCTGGCTTTTCCGGCAGGCCTGGGGCCGTTGATCTCGCTCTTGTGATCTGGCGAGATCCGGCCATGAATGGCGTGAATGAGTTTTTAATGTTTTTAATTTTTAAATGTTTTTTACAATGATTTTTAAAAATGTATTGTGAGCCGTCCTGAGTCTTCGGAGAGGGGGCGGCATATAACTCGAATTAATTAAATTAAATTAAATTAAATTAAATTAAATTAAATTAAATTAAATTAAATTAAATTAAATTAAATTAAATTAACTGAATCGAACTGAGTTTTTAATCTCTCCCTCTAGGATGTGCCTTTGTCAAATACGGAAGCCACGCAGAAGCTCAAGCCGCCATTAGCACTCTCCACGGAAGTCAAACCATGCCGGTAAGTGTGGGCCAAAACCTACTCCCAGAGGGAGGAACAGTATAGTGTACAACTCAGGGGTGGGTTCTACTTACCTTTATACTTACCGGTTCGCAATGGGAGCATGCACACAGAAGCTTCTGCACATGTGCAGATCCTCCATAATGATGTCCCAGTGGGTGGGCGGAGCCTCCTGCCAGTTTTACCACCAGTTCGCGAGAACTGGACCGAACCGGGAGCAACCCACCACTGGTACGACTTCATGCGCTCAAAAGGGGAAAATGCAATGGCACCGTTAGCAACTGGGCCATTCCGATAGTTCTCGACGGGACCAGACATTTCCATAGTTCAACAAGGCAATTGGTAAGTGGTGCGGTGGCCTAGAGGCGAAACTCTCGCCTCACAATCAGGAGGCTGTAAGTTCGATCCTAGGTAGAGGCAGATATTTCTCTCTCTGGGCACAATGAGAATATTATCTGATGAACAAAACTCCGCATTGGTGACAGGAAAGGCATCTGGCCAGTAAACACTCAGCTCCATTCAATTGCCCAGAACTCCACCCCGCAAGGGACTATGGAGTCACTGAAAGATGATGATGAGTGATTCCCTTCACTGAGTGGTGCGTAGCCTAGAAGTGGAGCTCTCACCTCACAATCAGGAGGCTGTGAGTTCGATCCTAGGTAGAGGCAGATATTTCTCTCTCTGGGCACAGTGGGAATATATCTGGTGAATATAACTCCGCATTGGCGACAGGCAGGGCATGTGGCCATTAAACCCTCTCCTAGCTCCGTTCAGTTGCCCAGACTCCACCCCGCAAGGGATTATGAGGTCGTTAAAAGAAGATGATGAACAAGGCAGTTGTTAAAGGAGTCCTGTCCAATTTTATGATCTTTCCAAGAACAAAAATTTGATTTCGACTTGCAATAAGACGCGGATACCTGGCAAATCTTTCATGTGCCTAACAAATCACTAGGGTGGTTAAACGAATCACAGCAGTGATTCAGGCTTCCCATATTGACTTTGCTTGCTGGAAGCTGGCTGCGAAGGCCATAAATGGCAGTCCCATCACCCTGGGATGCTGCAACTGTCATAAATAAGATGCCAGTTGCTGAGACGGTTGTTAAGTGTGAAGAGTGCTCGTAAGTCACTTTTTCCAGTGTCGTCGTAACTTTGAACGGTCGTTAAACAAATGTAAGTTGTGGGCTACCTGTGCAGGAGGGCCCAGAATCCAAAACACAGCCCAGAACAAAGCCTAGAATCCATTTGAATTCATCTGCATTGAATTAAAATTATACGGAATTGCAATGATGTTATCGTAACGCGATTACTTTCCCCATATTTAATAATAGCCCCACCATATTAAGTTAAGCATATGAAAGATTTGCCTGCACCTGAGACTTACTGCAAGTCAAAATCCCATTCAAGTTCTCGGAAAGAAAACTAACAGCATATTTCGCCTTTAACTTTCCTATCCTAATAATTCTTTTCTCTGAAGCAAGAACCTTCAGTCTTTTTATACCCTGGACCCCTTTAAGCAACGGAGAAAAAGACATTTAAATCATCTTCTTTTAATTACCAGGGGTGAAATGCTCCCGGTTCAGACCGGTTCAGCAAAACCGGTAGCGATCGTGGCGGGTGGTTCGGAGAACCGGTAGCGATGGCGGTGCGAGGCTCCACCCACCCAGTTGCCGTTACTTCCTGGTTTTAACCAGGAAGTAATGTGTTTTTTACCCTCTGTACATGTGCAGAAGGTTTTGTGCATGGTGCATGGACGGCGCGTGCACTTCCGAACCGGTAAGGAAGGTAAGTAGATTTCACCCCTGCCATAATCCCTTGCAGGGTGGAGTCAGGGCAATTGAATGGAGCTGAGTGTTTATTGGCCGGATGCCTTTCCTGTCGCCAGAGCGGAGTTTTTTTTTTTTTTCCCAGCAGATACATTCTCACTGTGCCCAGAGAGAGAGAAATATCTGCCTTTACCTAGGATGGAACTCACAGCCTCCTGAATGTGAGGCGAGAGCTCCACCTCTAGGCCATCGCGCCACTCCAGAATAATGCATTTAAATACATAAAATAAAACAGCATTGATATTGATCTCGTATCACAAACGAACCGTTTATGCTCAAAAGGTGCTTTCAAAATGGGCTTCTGAATGAAGCCCTGAAATGAATCACAAGGCAATAAATACCCCTTGTTTTGCTATAATAATTTTAGAGGGTGAGATTTGTGGAAATTTGCAAACATTTGTGGAGTCTAGTGGCTGTGTGTTAGTTTGTGGTCCATATACATTCTTGGAGGGCGAATTTAAGGTCGAGTTTACTGAAGATAAAGGTGTATATATATATATATTTTTTCCAGCATCCAAGTTTACAGACTCCTTGAAATCTGTTTACAGATTTGTAGTGATTCCTGAAAAGGTTCTTTTCCGGCTTTTCCTTTAAAAGCAAGTCCGATCTTCTGATTGCATGGAACTAATTTCCAAACTGAATTGAAAGTGAGCAGGCTCAGAATAAACCGGCATTATTGGCTAAGCTCTGGTTGACAGTTGAGGTAGAAGTGCTGGGTGAAAGGCTCCATCTCTTGAAGGAACCCTTAAGGACCCCACAGTCAACTTGTCTAAGATGAGGAGATACTTGACCTTTCTGTCCCTGCGGGGGTCCCCCGATTTCTACCACCATCACCCTGAGAATTAGCGTAGAGTTACACCAAGACTCCCCATAACTGGGGAGAGGGGGTTTCCTCTATAAACTGCCCTCAAAACCAATCTCTAGAGGTGCTAAAATGGGAGAGCTTCCAGTACAGTCCCTTCATTTTCCACACGCTTCCTTCCTTCTTTCCCTCCCATTTCTTTCTTTCCTTCCTTCCTTCCTTCCTCTCTCTCCCTCCTTCCTTCCTCCCTTCACCCCTACCTCTTTTCTTCCTTTCTTTCTTCCGTCTTTCTTCCCCTCCCTTCATTCACCTCTCCTGCCTTCCTTCTTGCCTTCCTTCCTGCCTTCCTTTCTTTTCCTTCCTTCCTTTCTCTCCTTCCTTCCTCCCTTCACCCTACCCCTACCTCTTTTCTTCCTTTCTTTCTTCCGTCTTTCTTCCCCCTCCCTTCATTCACCTCTTCTGCCTTCCTGCCTTACTCTGCCTTTACCTCTTTTCTTCCTTCTTCCTTCTTCCTTTCTTCTTCTCTTCTTTCTTCCTCTCTCTCCTTTCTTCTTCCCTTCACCTCTACCCCTACCTCTTTTCTTCCTTTCATCTTTCTTACCCCTCCCTTCCTTTACCTCTCCTGCCTTCCTTCCTTACTTCTCTTCCTTTCTTCCTTCCTTCCTTCCTTCCCCTCTTTTCTTCCGTCCTCTCTCTCTCTGTGTGTGTCCCCTCTCCCTCCCTCTCTCTCTCTACCGTTACCCACTTCCTTCTTTTCTTTTCCTCACCTTCCCTCCCTCACCCAAACACACATTTTCTCCCCCTTTTGTTCCATCGGCTGCTAATTTATCATCTCGGCGATTGGATCAGATTCTTGGGGATCAAATCACTTGTTGCAAAAAATAACTCTTTGCTGTTTATTCTGATCAGCAGCTGTGTTCTCCAAGCAGGTGTCAGGAGGTAATTGAATCACCGGCTTGAGAAAACTGCCATTTAATTAACAATGAAGGTCATAGTTCTAAATGAGAGTGAGAGGGAAAAGGAGGGAGCCGAGGCCCCAGGAGTCGCGGTGATTATAGAAGAGGATTGAACCGATCAGCAGTTGCAAGGAGGTTGGGCTGACAATGAACTCCAATGGCCCCAGATGAGTTTGGAAGGGGACAAAGAGTTTGGAGAGAGGTAAATGTGAAGGAAGGAAGTAGGTAGAGGAAGCAAAGGAGGGTGGAAGGACAGAAGAAAGAAAGGAAAAAACAGATAGAGGTAGAGAGGAAGGGAGGGAGGGAGGGTAGAAAGGAAAGAAGGAGGGAGGGAAGGAAGGCAGGAAGGAAGGAGGGAAGGAAGGAAGGAAAGAAGGAGGGAGAGTAGGAAGGAGGGAGGGAGGGAAGAAGGAGGGAGGGAAGGAAGGCAGGAAGGAAGGAAGGAGGGAAGGAAGGAAGGAAGGAAAGAAGGAGGGAGAGTAGGAAGGAGGGAGGGAGGGAAGAAGGAGGGAGGGAAGGAAGCAAGGAAGGAAGGAAAGAAGGAAGGAAGCAAGGAGGGAGGGTAGGAAGGAAAGAAGGGAGAAAGGAAGGAAGGAAGGGAAGGAGGGAGGGAAGAAGGAGGAAGGGAAGGAAGGAGGGTAGGAAAGAAGGAGGGAGGGAGGGAAGAAGGAGGGAGGGAAGGAAGCAAGGAAGGAAAGAGGAAAGCAAGGAGGGAGGGTAGGAAGGAAAGAAGGAGGGAGAGAGGAAAGAAGGAGGGAGGGAGGAAGGAAGGACTAGAGCATGAAGGGAGGGAGAGAGGGAAGATGGGAAGGAGGGAAGGAAGGTAGGAAAGAAAGAAAGAAGGAAAAAGGGAGGGAGGGAGGGAGGGAGGGAGGGAGGAAGGAAGGAAGGAAGGAAGGAAGGAAGGAAGGAAGGAAGGAAGGAAGGAAGGAAAGATTCATCTATTGACTGTTGACATCAAAAACAGAAGGCACAAAAAAAGTCCTTTCCAAACAAAATCACTCGTGCTTCTTAGAGGAGCCCATCCCAAAGCAGAGATGCACTAACTGCCCTGAAGATTATAATCCCCAACCCTAAGGTGGTAGAAAGGGGGAAACTGTCAAGTACACGACCGGAGCCTAATCAGGATCACTCTGTTTGTCGTGAAACCTAAGTGTAAATGAGCCCCTCCCTCTCAAAAACTTTTTTTTAAAATCAATCTTGGCCTTGGGGAAAAAAAAATAACACGCCTGGATCCTGGGAATAAAAATGCATTTCGGGAAACGGTCACTGCAAGGATTAGCACGTTTATCTCCAAGCTTCTCTCGGCCCCCAAACAGACGGTGGCTGTTTCATTACAGGGACAAAATCAATCCCGTTCCTTGTAAATAAAGATAAGGCTTGTTTTCTTAAATAAGGCTAGTTAGCTGGAACCCAGGGAGAGTCAATTCCGGTTGAGATAGCAGAAGTCTCCCATCAATTGTTTCCATGGACACGACGGGCTCAGCAGACTAGCTCAGAATCCTGGGGCTTTTTGCAAATGTCAGCTCCGTGGCGGGTGGACTTCAGAATCTATTGTGGGCAGTAGAGTTGGGTGACCAGGGATGGTTTATGTCGTTTGGGGGTAATAGAAAGGAGTGCTGGCTAGACAAGAGTTGCTTTTGATAGAATAGAATAGAATAGAATAGAATAGAATAGAATAGAATAGAATTTTTTATTGGCCAAGTGTGATTGGACACACAAGGAATTTGTCTTTGGTGCATACATAAAAGAAAAGATACGTTCGTCAAGAATCATAAGGTATAATACTTAATGATAGTCAGAAAAGAATAGAATAGAATAGAAAAGAATAGAATAGAATAGAATAGAAAAAAGAATAGAATAGAAAAGAATAGAATAGAATAGAATAGAATAGAATAGAATAGAATAGAATAGAATAGAATAGAATAGAATAGAATAGAATAGAATAGAATAGAATAGAATTCTTTATTGGCCAAGTGTGATTGGACACACAAGGTATTTGTCTTTGGTGCAGACGCTCTCAGTGTACATAAAAGAAAAGATACGTTCATCAAGAATCATAAGGTACAACACTTAATGATAGTCATAGGGTACAAATAAGCAATCAGGAAACAATATCAATATAAATCGTAAAGATACAAGCAACAAAGTTACAGTCATACAGTCATAAGTGGAAGGAGATGGGTGGTGGGAACGATGAGAAGATTAATAGTAGTGCAGACTTAGTGAATAGTTTGACAGTGTTGAGGGAATTATTTGTTTAGCAGAGTGATGGCGTTCGGGGAAAAACTGTCCTTGTGTCTAGTTGTTCTGGTGTGCAGTGCTCTATAGCGTCGTTTTGAAGGTAGGAGTTGAAACAGTTTATGTCCAGGATGAGTGATGGTAAGTCTCTTGACCAGATGCAGCCCGTTTTTCAGTAAAATCTGGGTGGGGGGAAAAATCTGGTGAAAAGAAGGACTAAGGGTGATATGATAGCCGTGTTCTAATATTTGAGGGGCTGCCACAGAGAAGAGGGGGTCAAATTAATCTCCAAAGCACCAGAAGGCAGGAAAAGAAGCAACGGTTGGAAACTAATCAAGGAGAGAAGCAATTTAGAACTAAGGAGGAATTTCCTGAGAGTAAGAACAATTTATCAGTGGAACAACTTGCCTCCAGAGATTGTAAATGCTCCAACACTGGAAGTTTTCAAGAAGATGTTGGATAACCATTTGTCTGAAGTTGTGTAGGGTTTCCTGCCTAAGCAGGGGGTTGGACTAGAAGACCTCCAAGGTCCCTTCCAACTCTGTTATTCTATCAATCACTTTTTTCAGTGCCGTGGTGTCCGAGGGGTTGTAAGCAGTGATGAAATCCATTTTTTTTTTACTACCGGTTCTGTTGGCGTGGCTTGATGGGTGTGGTCTGGCTTGGTGGGCATGGCTTGGTGGGCGTGTCAGGGGAAGGATACTGCAAAATCTCCATTCCCACCCCACTCCTGGGGGAAGGATATTGCAAAATCTCCATTCCCACCCCACTCCTGGGGGAAGGATATTGCAAAATCTCCATTCCCACCCCACTCCTGGAGGAAGGATATTGCAAAATCTCCATTCCCACCCCACTCTGGGGCCAGCCAGAGGTGGTATTTGCCAGTTCTCCCAACTACTCAAAATTTCCGCTACCGGTTCTCCAGAACCTGCTGGATTTCACCCCTGCTTACAACCCCTCGTTTGTAAGTCAAGAACCACCTCTAGCGGATACCAAAGGAAGAGAAGCTCCCAAATAAAGGGGCCACCCTACTCTTCAACATTGTGCCTCTCTGTTGCAACTGCCTTTTCCCATAAGATTCATTTGCAAGACTCCTCCGTTCGAACCAATGCACCAGTGATGGATACAATCTGCCCCACTCTCTCTCTCTTTCTGCCTCTGCTTCTCTCTTCCCTCTGCCAGGGTGCGTCCTCCAGCTTAGTTGTGAAGTTTGCCGACACGGACAAGGAGCGGACTTTGCGGCGGATGCATCAGATGGCAGGACAGCTGGGCATCTTTAATCCCATGACGATCCAGTTTGGAGCCTACGGAGCATACACACAAGCGGTAGGAGATGCTGGACGCCCCAACAGTAGGGCACCATTATTTCCCATAAAGGTGAAGCAGGAACGTTTGGACAAGCCAGAAGGTGCTAGTTGGGTGAGGAATCAACCAAGGCTCCCTGGTTCTCTGTTCTTTCTCCTTTACCTGAGAGGGAGGCACCATTTGACCCAAACCAGGGTCACCTTAAACACTCAAAGAGCCATTTGGACCCGTTTCCCAGAGAAAAGAAAACACCGGGAGCCACAAAACCCTTCCCGTGCCTGCTCATTGGCGGTTGTGATGCATATTTTGAGTGACAGGGAGCCACAGCAGAGGGGTGAAAGAGCCACATGCGGCTCCAGAGCCGCAGGTTGCTGACCCCTGACTTAAAATGATTTAGGCTAAGTCTGGGAAAGCAAAGCAGGATAGTTGTTGTATGGGAGATTCCCTCAAACCCACCAGCTCATCTGGAAGGACACTTTTATCATCCAGAGATGCCACATATCCTTGCTGGAGAGAACAGTGATGGGCACTGCCCTCCACTGGCCAATGCAAGCTTCTGCATTGCTAACTGGAAGGAGACAAACATCGATGGTCCTTTCCTGGAGATAGAACAAGCATATATGTTTGTTGATACATGAAAAGGCCAGAGAAGTTGGTTCAAATCTCATGTCAACTGTGATGGTTTTAGAAGGAGGTAGACCACACAGTGGGAAGATGATGGTAGCCTTCATCTGTTCTCCACTCCAATCCCCATCAGCCCAAGACAAGCATGGCTGGAAAACAGAGATGCCAGAAGTTCTGGAATATCTGGAGGAACGCTGGTTTTCCACCCTGACCTTAGCAACCTTAGCTGGTTAGGCTCACAGGGAGGGTTGATGAAAGAAGTTACCCCATGGGTGCTTTTCAAAAGGCAGCTAGACTTCCTTAGCTTTTTCCTTGAAGACGTTTGGCTTCTCATCCAAGAAGCTTCTTCAGTTGCTTCAGTAGTGTAGAAGGTTCTTGGATGAGAAGCAACACATCTTCAAGGACAAAAACTAAGAAAGTTCAAAAGTTGCCTTTTGAAAAGCACCTCTGGGACAACCATGACCTGGATGATTGAGAATCTCCATAGACCCATGATGGTGAACCTATGGCACACGTGCCACAGGTGGCGCACGGAGCCATATCGGTGGACACACAAGCGTTGCCCTACCTCAGCTGCAGCACACATGCATGCACCGGCCAGCTGATTTTTGGGCCTTCCGTGCCCACCGAAAATCAGGAAACAGGCTGTTTCTGGCCTCCAGAGGGCCTCCAGGGGGTGGGGAAGGCTGTTTTTGCCCTCCCCAGGCTCCTAAAACGCCTCTAGAGCCTGGGGAGAGCGAAAAAAGGGCCGACTGGGCCCATCGTGCCATCATGTGCCAAAAGCGGGGGGGGCGGGGGGGGGGGTGTCACGGGCGCGGGCGGGGGGGGGCGGGGCGCATTGAATTATGGGTATGGGCATGCACGCACATGTCCTCCCGCGCTTCCCCTGCTTTTGGCCCACAGTGGCAAAAAGGTTAGCCATCCCTGCCATAGACATTGATGAAAGAAGCTATATCAAGGCAGTTGTCCATCTGAAGGCGTCTGTCAAGTTTCGAGGTCATCTCAAATAAATTGCATTTCAAACAAAGTCTTTCATAAAAACTCCCATTTATTAAGCACAACATTCTAAATCCTGGCTCATCGCAGCCAACACTGACTTCCAGACCCAAAACCCTCCCTTTCTGTTCCCCACTCCCCTGCACTCATTGGCCATCTTCCAAGTCATTCTACCCCTAATCTACCGCTCCAGCTCAAAGGAATTTCCCCCCTCCCATCTCATCTCCTAGGGGATATTATCTCCAGGGGAAATAAGTCGGTGAAAAGTCAAACTTCCCTTTCCAGACGCCTCCGCTTCTCCTTCTTATGTCAGCACTAGAGTAAATGAAGCTTGAAGTGCTGACAGCATCATTTCAATGTCCCTCAATGTTAGTCTTCATAGGACTAGAACTTCCTCAAGAAGTCCAAAAGGCCAGTCTCCATCTGGAGGTAGTGGGAGGATGTTCCTTGGAGGTTGCCCCTGACGAGAAAAAGAAGACCAGTCTTTATCAGTGAAGTCCAAACTAACGTTGCCCTTCTTCCCCTCTTCCTTTTCTCCTGTCCTCCACCTTCTTTCTTTCCCTGGCTGTTCTCCTTCCGCCTCTCTCCCCACGTGTGTCCTTCTTTCCTTAAGATAATGCAGCAGCAGGCAGCGCTCATGGCTGCCGCACAAGGAAGTTGTCTCAACCCCATGGCAGCCATCGCGGCAGCACAGATGCAGCAGATGGCTGCTTTCAACGTGAGCGGCTTGGTGGCGGCTCCTATGACACCCTCGTCAGGTAGGAGCCTTCCTACGTGATCTCCTTGTGAGGTAACCAAGAAAGAAGAGCCAGGTGGAAGTCCGATAAACTTCACAGTAGATCCCTTGCTCAGCATCTTCCCGTCAGGGAAGACGGGTGCTCAAAGTGGACTTATCTGACCCTTCAGCCTCCACTGAAAGATTCTTGTTTTATTTTAGCAATTGCAATAGCGCTTAGACTTACCGTATTTTTCGGAGTATAAGACGCTCCGGACTATAAGACGCATCTACCTTTTTGGGGGAGGGAAACAAGAAAAAGAAACCTGCCTCCCAGCAATTTTGCCTCCTTGCAGCAAACAGCAAAGAGCCTGTTTTACTTTCATTTTCGTTTTCAGCATAGCTTGATTAGCACAAGAAAAAAAAAATCTCCTCCCAGCAATTTACCTCCTTGCAGCAAGCAGCAGAGGCCCGTGCAGCAATAGGCAATGGGAATCCCTGCAGCCTGAAACACCTGAGAGTCGGGAGGCCAATGGATAATCAACTTTTGCTAAATGGGCTGTGCTGAAGCTGAAATGGGCTGTGTCTTCTTGCTGCAAGGAGGTAAATTGCTGGGAGGCAGAGGCCATAGGGTGGGAGCCAGTGGGTGGGCAGGGGTACATTCGGTGTATAAGACGCACCTAAATTTTCACCCCCTTTTGGGGGGGAAAAGGTGCATCTTATACTCCAAAAAATATGGTATATACCGCTTCACAGTGCTTTACAGCCCTCTCTGAGCAGTTTACAATGTCAGCATCTTGCCCCCAACAATCCGGATCCTCATTTTACTCCAAAGGTAATAAACAAATAAACAAATAAACTTCCACCATAGAAAGAACGGTTGCAGGAACTGAGTATGTCTAGTCTTATGAAAAGAAGGACTAGGGAAGACATGATAGCAGCCTTCCAATATCTCAGGGGCTGCCCCAAAGAAGAGGGAGTCCAGCTATTCTCCAAAGCACCAGAAGGCAGGACAAGAAGCAATGGGTGGAAACTCATCAAGGAGAGAAGCAACTTAGAACTAAGGAGAACTTTCCTGATAGTTAGAACAATTAATCAGTGGAACAACTTGCCTCCAGAAGTTGTGAATGCTCCAACACTGGAAGTTTTTAAGAAGATGTTGGATAACCATTTGTCTGAAATGGCTTCCTGCTTGAGCGGGGGGTTGGACTAGAAGATCTCCAAGGTCCCTTCTCATTCTGTTATTCATTCCACAAGATTTCCCCAGTTCCATCGGGAAGTAAACCATATTCTCTATATTCGCCTTTTCCTTTCCCGCTCGGTCTTCGTTTAACGGCTTCCTCTGCCCTAATCCCTTTGCCTCTCTCTTTGCCTTCTCTCGTTCGGGCGCTTCAGGTACAAGCACACCTCCAGGGATCAGCACAGCTCCAGTCCCCAGCATAGCTACCCCCATTGGCGTCAATGGGTTTAGCCCTCTCCCACCACAGACTAACGGACAGCCAGCATCGGAAACCATTTACACCAATGGGATCCATCCGTACCCGGGTAAGATTTTGGACAAAGAAAGGGGCCGTCAGTGGCGACGGTGATGGGTGTATCCCTGTCTGTGCTAAAGCAGGGAAGAAATACCCTCTTTTCCAGCCCTGCAAGTCGGTTGATCGACTGGTACTGTGGACTGTAAACGGGCCCTGGGCTTTTTCTAATTATGCAGGTGTAGGAAGAAATATCCTTCTAGGTTCAGCTCCAAGTGGGGAAAAAAAGACACTGGAAACATGGAAACTGCTTGGAAAGATGGTTTAATGGTGGACAGTATCACATGGCTTGAGTTCCTGAACAGAAAAGGGGCGAGATACAGCGAGTCCCTGGATTTTTATGCTTTCTCTGGGTTTGAACTTCCTGGGCCCCCGAAAGTGTATCCTGATTGGTTGTCAGACTCCCAGGGGGTGGGGGGGTCTTAGCTAGCCTTGCTGGCTGATGTAATCTTCCCAGGTGCCGTGTGGTGAGTTTCTGTCCTAGATGGGTCCCATTGTGTTGCAGATGAAGGTCCATTGACAAAGATTGAGTTTCTGCCTCTGGCCCATTAACAAAAGGGGGGGGCAGGAAGGTGGGAGCTGCTTTGTCTTTAAAACCTGTTTCTCCATTTCTCAACCAGGGAAACATAATATTCTGCCTTTTTAATATTTCCTAAAATATTTCACTCTTCCAGGAAAGGGGTGGGTGCTAACTTCCTACACAGGCAAGATAAAATAACGATCTTCTGAAAAGGCGCTCCACTCTTCCTCCAGATGTTGCTAAAAGCCATCTCCCACTTGCCTCACCTGAGAAAGGGATGGGAAAGGAGGATGGGAACGGCCACCGCATCTGGATGGCCACAGGTTGCTCTGCCAGGGTTTGGGCAAGTCAAAACTGATCGCACTGCGCCGACGGGGGCCATTCTCCGATGGACTCTGCTTATTCTCGTCCTTCTTCCTTCTTTTCTCTTCCCAGCTCAAAGTCCCACCGTGGCAGATCCCTTGCAACAAGCCTACGCTGGCATGCAACACTATGCAGGTCTCAACATTGCTTTGGCCCTCTCTTCCCCTCCCCCTCCACCCTCCTCCCTGGGTCTCTTCCTCTTTTCCTGCACCTCTCTTGGCTTCTGTCCCTTGGCAACTTTTGTGATGCAAACTGGGGGTGGGAGAGGCAACCAGGTATTCGGGGCACACACGTTTGGAGAGCAGGATGAGGTTAGGGATGTGTGGGTGTGGCAAGTTAGAGGACTGGAGGCTAAAACACATGAACGATTGCTGGAATTGGGTATGTCTAGTTTGATGAAAAGAAGGACCAGGGGAGACGTGATAGCAGTCTTCCAATATCTCAGGGGCTGCCCCAAAGAAGAGGGAGTCAAGCTATTCTCCAAAGCATGTGAGGGCAGGACAAGAAGCAATGGGTGGAAACTCATCAAGGAGAGAAGCAACCTAGAACTAAGGAGGAATTTCCCGACAGTCAGAACAATTCATCAGTGGAAAAACTTGCCTCCAGAGGTTGTGAATGCTCCAACACTGGAAGTTTTTAAAAAGAGATAGGATAACCATTTGTCTGAAGTGGTGTAGGGTTTCCTGCCTAAGCAGGGGGTTGGACTAGAAGACCTCCAAGGTCCCTTCCAACTCTGTTATTCTATTTCTAAGTACCTTGGTTTACAAGCCTAGACCACACCTGAGTAAGAAAGCTCTCCCACAGGTAGGGTTTAAAAAGGGAAGTGATGGTGGATCGTGCCACCAATGAACTTCATGGTTGGGTTTCCAAGAAATTTACACAGGGACAAGCAGGAATGAAGAGAAGAGACCGAGCAAATCCATGAGACAGGCAAATCTCTGCCTCTAAAGATAGCTTTCTAAGTAGGCTGGACCCATCATCTCCAGCCAGCAGGACCAGTGGAAGTTCAAATCATATTCCAAAGCACCAGGAGAGCCCCAATTTGGGTTTTACTAATCTTACCCCATATGCTCAGTTTAGATGAAATTCAGCATAGTGCAAGTTCTCTGCAGATCAACCAAGCTATACAGTGGAATCTTAGAATTCTTCGTATTTGATGTTTTATGGGGCCGTGGGGGAGGGGGGAGGAGTGAGTAGGGCCACACAGGGGTGGGCTTCAAAATTTTAGCAAGGGATTCTCTGCCCGGTTGCTGGGTAGGCGTGGCCATGGTGGGCGTGACACCACGGGGGGGGGCATTTTTGCCCTCCCCAGGCTCCAGAGGCTTTCCTCGAGCATCCAGGAGGGTGAAAATAGCCTCCCCAGGCTCCGGAGGCCCTCTGGAGGCCGGAAACGGGTCCATTTCCAGCCTTCCCGAACTTCCGGTAAGCCCATTTTTCGCCCTCCCTGGTCTCCGCACACACCTTGCACTTATCTGCATCCAAAACGGGCTGCGTGGGGACTCCTGGGAGGGGAGGGGTGGGTGGGGCCATCCAGGAGTGGGATTTGGGGGTTCTCAGAACTGCACAGAATCTTAGCTAGAGGTTCTCCCGAACTCCTGCAACTCCTCAGCAGCCCCACCCCTGGGGCCACATATATGGCAGGACATGATCACACTCACATGGGACCATATTCGTTGGTTTGGTGTACCCCTTTCTCCCCCATGAAAGCAGAGCGTTGTGCTTGCTTGGGCCTGATCCGTCTGTTTCTGTGTTCTAGCAGCATATCCAGCCGCCTATGCACCAATCAGCCAAGCCTTCCCACAGCAAACTCCCATCATCCCCCAACAACAGAGAGAAGGTGAGGAGGAATGCAAAGGTTGGGTCTCCTGGAGGATGGGGGGGGCAATTTCCACAAGGCCCACAAGGTCTTCTTCTGAGCAACTTCCTATTTTGGAGGGGGGGGTCGTGCCAAGATTTATTGGTTCGATTTATATGCCGCCCTTCTCCGGAGACTCAGGGTGGCTTACAATGCGTTAAGCAATAGCCTTCATACTTTTGTATATACCTGCTTAGTAGGGCTTTCGGGGCCCCCTAAGCGGTGTTCTTTTTTATACAAAGTCAGCTTATTGCCCCCACAATCCGGGTCCTCATTTTACCTACCTTAGAAAGGATGGAAGGCTGAGTCAACCTTGAGCCTGGTGAGAATTGAACTTGCAATAATTGCAGGCAGCTGGTGCTACTTAGCAGTGCTTTAGTCTGCTGCACCACCAAGGCTCTACCAAGATCAAAATGGCTTTGTAGAAACGTGGAACAGACCTGTCTAAAAGTCACCATGTTACAAAAAAAAAAAAGACGTTGAGACTTTGGAAAAAGTTCAAAGAAGAGTAACTGAGCTGATTAAAGGCCTGGAGACTAAAACATATGAAGAACAGTTGCGGGAACTGGGTATGGCTAGTCTAGAGAAAAGAAGGACTAGGGGGAACATGATAGCAGTATTTTAGTAATTTGAGGGGCTGCCACAAGGAAGTGGGGTCCAAAGCACAGAGGGCAGGACAAGAAACAATGAATGGAAGATACTCAAGGAGAGAAGCAACCTGGAATTAAGGAGAAACTCCCTAACAGTGAGGACAATTAAACAGTGGAACAGAAGTTGCCTCCAGAAATCGTGGAGGTTTTTAAGAAGAGACTGGGACAGTCAACTTGTCTGAAATGGTATAAGAACTTCTGCTTGAGCAGAGGGCTGGACTAGAAGACCTCCAAGGTCCCTTCCACCTTCTGTTCTGATTAGGTTTCTCAGTAAAATAATAGTAAGTGTACAAGAAAAGAATAAAAAAAAAACAAAGTATGTAAATGTTACATAAGTTAGTCTGCCTCTCAGGAGAACAGGCAGTATTGAAAACGTTGTAGATTATGCCATATGACTGTTGGCCATTTTAACTAAGGAGTCGGCAAATTGAAAATCAATTCATTTGGAAGGCATCTGAGTCGGGGAGATTTACTTAACCAATCAATGATGGGGATTAATTACTTTTTAAGTTCATTGACAAAACCCAACGCATTGAGGACTCAAATGCAACAAGAAAGTTGGTCGATACTCAATATTTATTTATTTATTTGTTCAATTTGCATGCCGCCTTTCTCTGAAGACTCAAGATAGTTAAAAGTTGTCTACATTTGGTCTCTTTTGCTCTTCTTACACAACGTCCTTTCCTCTCTTTGGTGTGCCTATGTTGCCATCCTAGGTCCTGAAGGCTGTAACCTCTTCATTTATCACCTGCCCCAAGAGTTTGGCGATGCAGAACTCATGCAGATGTTCCTGCCTTTTGGCAGTGTCATCTCTGCCAAAGTCTTCGTTGATCGTGCCACCAACCAAAGTAAATGCTTTGGTAAGTCCCAGCTGACTTCCTTCAAGGTTCCTTTATGAGTTGGTTTTCATTTCAACTTTTAGACAAGTTAAGTCAAAAGATGAAATATCAGCAAAGGGGAATGCGGGTGGCAAAATGCTGATTAAAGTTGACTATTCACAGGAGTCAGATCCAGAAAATGGTCCAGTAGACGTTACAGTCCAAGTTAAAAATTGGGGGGAAGAGGCAGATGAACAGACTAAGACCCTTAGAGGGGGAAGATAGGTTTGAAAGCAAGATAGGGGCCTGGGTAGAAATGTTAGAAATTAGGCAGTGGAAGAGAATAGAAGTGGGAGGAATACCTAGATTAAACATCCAAGAAGTAGGTAAAGATTTAAAAGAGGAATTTGGGAGGCAAGCAAAAAAAAAAACAAAAAAACCCATAGCTATTAAAGTATTGAAGCGGGCAAGGGACGATGGATAGATGATTTCTTTTTACTTTATATATTATTGTCTTAATTTACTCTTCTTCTTTCCTATTTTTCTTGTAAAGCGTAGCAAATAAAGTATTGAAGCGGGCAAGAGATGATAGATAGATGATTTTTTTCCCGTTGTTCTGAGTTATTTTTTCTTTTCTCTCACTCTCTTCTTCCTTTTCCTTTTTTTCTTTTTTTTAAGTCGGTGACATGATTAGAAGTTAGACAGGAAAGAAAGGAAAAGTTTCTTAATAAAGGGTGATATGATCAAAAGCTAGAATAAGTGATAGAAACAAGAAAAGGAGGAATATTAGTGTATACTTTTTACATCATAAAATGAAAGTAATAACAAGAGAAAATATGGAATAATTGAATAATGATAGATTATAAATTAATATAAGTATGCATTATTATTAGAAATATATAAGCGGATTGAATGTAAGGATTATGATTAACTTGATTAGTTTTATTTGTATTAGAATGTATGACACAGGTGCCACACTGTTTGATTTGATTTGATATTTTGATTTTTTTAAAAAAAACTAAGACCTTGGCCTAAACCCAAAGCATTGAGTCTAGAACAGAGATCAGACATAAGTTACTGTCTGAATTAATTTCCTAAATAAATAGTCTGGCAATCTCAGCACCATAATTTAATCCAACCTTGTATGAAAATCTCTTGCAAGATACAGTAGTGGCATTTGCATCCTGAAATCTTGTAAGAATCCTATGTGAAGAAGACGAATGTCTTGTGTGATTTGGCCAACTTCTGAGATTTCAGCCATTAAAAACTTCAGCCAACAAAGATGTATGAAAGTAATTAATGTTGGAATTCCCTAGAAGCCATCTGGGGTTTGATGGTGGTTCTTATGGCTGCTACACTACACAACTTCCAGGCTAATAGTTTGCTAGAATTTTTATTTGTTTATTGATTTCTTTAAACAGTCCCAAGTTTCCAGTACCAATGCTGAGATTATCCTCTTCTGAAGCCAGAATTTAAACTGGCCTAGTTGAATTCTGGTGGACCTTTATCCAATCAGGCGATCACAAATTGAGAAGATTAATATCCACCTGCTTGGAGTTAGATAAAGGTCCATGGAATTCAATGGCAGTTGGACTTTGTCCACTTGTGGCTCTGTAGAGATTCTAGGCTCGTGATGGCGAACCTATGGCACGCATGCCACAGGTGGCACGTGGAACCATATCAGTGGGCATGTGAACTCAGCTCCGGCATGCATGCTTGCACCGGCCGGCTGATTTTCAGGCCTTCTGGGCCCACCGGAAGTAGGGAAATAGGCTTTTTCCTGCCTCCGGAGGGCCTGAAGGGGGTGGGGAAGGCCCATTTTTTGCTCTCCCCAGGCTCCAAAGCCTCTCTAGGAGCCTGGGGAGGGCGAAAACAGCTTTCCCCACCCACCCCCCGAAGGCCCTCCGGAGGCCGGAAACGGCCCGTTTGATGACTTCCGGTGGGACCAGAAGGCCCGTTTTTTGCTCTCCCCAGGCTCCAGAGCCTCTCTAGGAGCCTGGGGAAGGCAAAAACGGCCTCTCCCCCCCACAAAAGCCCGCCGGAGGCTGGAAATGGCCCATTTACTGACTTCCTGTCCCACTTTCCGGCCTCCAGAGAGCCTCCGCGGTGTGCATAGAATTATGGGTGTGGGCACGCGTGCATGTGACCCTCTAAGCTCCCCCCGCTTTTGGCACACAATGGCAAAAAGGTTAGCCATCACTGTTCTAGCCTGATCCCTCGTTTAACTCCACCCTCAAGTTCTACCATTCCTTCTCCTACAATCATGCAACTTATGGTCCCAAGAGCCCAAGGAATGTGCCCTCTTTCATTTTTCTCTTCTAATCCTTCACCCAACCCCCATCACCCCCATCACTCACGTCTTTGGCTGGCGGCTCCTTTCCCAGGTTTCGTCAGTTTTGACAATCCAACTAGTGCCCAGGCAGCCATTCAAGCCATGAACGGCTTCCAGATCGGCATGAAGAGGCTAAAGGTCCAATTAAAGAGGCCAAAAGATGCAAATCGACCCTACTGATCCCTGTTCACCCCGGCTCGGAAAACAGGTAAGGCATTGGCAGGCGATGCTTCAGCCAGGTAACCAAGCTCAGGAAGGTAATGGCAGAAATCAGTCTTTCCTTCCCGGATAGCAAAGGGGCAGAATGACCATCTTCTAATGATGAGGTGTCCATAGCAAACCGGCAATAATGAAAGCCATGCCATCACCATGACTTGACTTAGCTACCTGGGTCAAGGTGCATCAGGACACGTGTACATAAGGGTGGCACGTTGAGGTCACCAAGGGCAAGTCATTTGGGCCCCCATTGCAATTTGCCCCGGTTCCCAGGATCCTTTGAGGGTAGCGAAGGTCTGATTGGAAACTTCGCCCCAAAGAGAAACGAGCAAGAGTGGAGAAGAACCCATGAAACGGGTGTCCAGTTTAAGGTGGAGGATATCAAGGAGTTTGGTGGTTTGAGCCAAACTATATCTTGGCAGGAAAATATCTCACTGTGTACGTTAGGTTCACTAAATTTCCTCTTCGGTGGGTTACATGGAAAGAGGAGTGCTTTCTAAGGGGGAACGTGTGAGTGTGTGTTTGTAAAAGAGAGGAAGAGAGGATCTGTGCCCATGAGTACAAGTACCTGTAGAAAGAAGTCCAGAAAGAACTTTCTTAGGTGAGATCAAAGGTCTGTATACGCCACTTTCTGTTGACCTAGTCAAATGCCACTGGGGAACCCTCCAGGAAGAAATCAGTAAGAAAATATCATTCTGCTATTGATATTCAAGCTCATAACTATCTCCGATACGGTTGGGAATACAATGCCATCATGATTAACGGTCATCAATCTCCTTCTCCTCCATGAATCTCTTCAATGCTTTGAAAATCCATCCAAGTCAGTTGCCATCACCAATTTTATGGGACTTAATTCCATCTGTTGATGACCTGCTGGGTAACAAAGTACTTCCTTTTGTCTTACCTAAATCTCCAACCATTCAGTGTCACTCAGCTTCTCTGGGTTCAGCTCATTCATGAGACAGCCCCAGGCCTTCAAATGTATATTGGGAGACAACATTGATTCTTACTCTAGTGTAGCTCCTGAATACATTTAGCTCAGTATGGCAGTGGCTTCTCAACTTTGGCAAGTTTAAGACATGTGGACTTCAACTCCCAGAATTCCCCAGCCAGCATAGAATTCTGGGAGTTGAAGTCCACATGTCTTAAACTTGCCAAAGTTGAGAAACACTTCAGTATGGGCAACTTCATTACTCAGGTTATCACTGCTACAAAGTTAGCACTTATACAGAGAAATGTTTTGGAATAACTTACTGATGGAAATTATTGCTGTATTTTAATGAGCACATGGGGTGATCAGCTTGATATAGATATCCAATTAAGGGGCAACTCTAGAAGATCTTACCCCAAAATTTAGCAAGGTGAGACTTGGTTCCTTGGGTGAGAAATTCCAGAACTGGATCGGAATGCTACGGACACCATCCTCGAAAGACGTTGGTGAGAAATATTTCCATGCTGTTGCCAAGAATATCATGGAATACAGGTCATCATCAGGAGAACTTCAACCTGAGGGAACATTTGAGTTCTACTTTTAACGTGCACATAGGCACGTGCACACATAATATATGGGCACTGGGACATAGATACACCTTTTCAGGTTTGTGCATTGACAGCTTCACTTCCCTCAACTACTCCATTGCTCTGTTTTTCTCCCAAGTGCCCCTTTTCTTGAATCTCACTTTTATTGGATAACCAGGACGAATGAAAAGAGAAGGGTTGAAATCTGATATGGATGCAACTGATTGTAGATCTGTCAGAAAGAGGCCCAGCCTTTAAAGTCTTGTCACTACAGCTCCCTTTTTACAACCCTACAATCCCTTAATTCAGGGTAGAGTCTGGGTGACTGAATAGAGCTGAGCATTTACTGTCCAGATACCCTTCCTGACACCTACAGGGAGTTCACAGCAGATATTTTTTTTCTTTGTGCCCTAGGAGAAAAACATCTGCCTCCACCTAGGATTGAACTCTCAGCCTTCTGAGTGAGAGGCGAGCGTCTTCACCACTAGGCCACCACACTGCTCATTGTCTTGTCACTATAACAACATCTTAAATTTCTGAAGGGCCACTGGAAACCTTTCTGTGATGTGGAGATACCACTGACAGGGACTTGTTTCCCACCCCTCCAAATCCTACTCTATAGTAATCTACTCCAGGATATCAAGCGGATGGGAAAGAACTTGATTTGATGAAGTGAACAGGCTTTCAGACGAGACGGGATAAATGTAGAAAACGATTCCTTGTCGATTCAAGTTATGATCTGGAGAGATGATGGAAGGAAAGGAAACTCTCTCTTGTTTGTAACATCATCAGAACACAACAGATATTAACGGCTCAGGGAATATGGGGGCTCAAAATAAATATGTGGGTTCAGACAGCCAACTTTGGAATTGTCGAGCAACAGAAAGATCTGTAGAAGAGAAGATACGTAGATCAAGGGTTGAACTCTGAAGTCCTTGATGCTCTCTGAGCTTGGGCATTTGCTTGCAAGGTCTGCAGAGAAAACATTTCTCCCTTGAGTGACTTGCAAACAGGTTCCATTCCTACTTTAAGCCAGATAAATTTGAGTAGAGTTACTAGAGAAGGAGGGACGCGGTGGCTCAGGGGCTAAGACGCTGAGCTTGTCAATCAAAAGGTCGGCAGTTCAGCAGTTCGAATCCCTAGTGCCGCGTAACGGGGTGAGCTCCCGTTACTTGTCCCAGCTTCTGCCAACCTAGCAGTTCGAAAGCAGGTAAAAAAATGCAAGTAGAAAAAATAGGGACCACCTTTGGTGGGAAGGGAACAGCGTTCCGTGCGCCTTTGGCGTTGAGTCATGCCGGCCACATGACCACGGAGACGTCTCCGGACAGCGCTGGCTCTTCGGCTTTGAAACGGAGATGAGCACCGCCCCCTAGAGTCGGGAACGACTAGCACGTATGTGCGAGGGGAACCTTTACCTTTACCTTCACTACAGAAGGAGTCTTCTCAGTTCAGCATCCATTGTTCCGGTTTGGAAAATTTTGAATGCCAGCATCACCCAAGCAATTGTTTTAAAGTGTAGAGAGGCAACCCTGTTCTTGGTGATCCTTGGATAGGATGAGTCATGGAATGCGAATAAGCACGTGCAAGTAAGCAGTTGTAAAGCATGTTAAAAGGGGAGAGGTGTAACCAACCCCCTTATTTTGTGGAGTCCTTGGTGCACTCTGAGCTTGGTGGTTTTCTTGCAGACGGTTCATTACTCAACTTGGTAATGGAACTTCACTGCACTGATGATGTTACCTAGCAGGGTAATGAAATGTCTGAAAGAAACCCCTCCCTCCCCCAAGCTCAGAGAGCGCCAAGGACTGCACAGTTCAGTCCTTGGCGCTGAACTAGAAATATTCTATTCAATTGACAAACCTCTGCTTATTTTAGCCAAGGAAAGCTCACACAATGGGGGTAAACAGGGAAGGTGCCCAGTCAAGGAGGCTTACTAAAAGACAGTGCTAGATGGTGTTAATAGAAGTGTCATATTTATGATTGGAAAAGTACATTTACAACTCAATGTAGAATTCCTCATGATAATTTACATATGGCCTCCCTAGAGTTATATTACCTAATTGAGATGAGCAATCACACAGTTTCATCTCTCTTTTTCTTTCTTTCTTTCTTTCTTTCTTTCTTTCTTTCTTTCTTTCTTTCTTTCTTTCTTTCCTCTCTCTCTCTCTCTCTTTCTTTTCTTCCTTCTTTCTTTCCTTCTTTCCTTCCTCAGGGAATTGCTTTTCTTTTAACCACCCCATTTGTATTTCAGTCTGGGACACGGTTCTTCTAAAAGCATCACTTGGTTATATGCCATAAGGAGGGTTTTTTATTTTGGTTTTTTTTTTGGACAATTTATTCCATTTTGAGTTCCATGGTTCCAAACCAAGTTAGGAATTTGAGGAAGAACGAGGAGGAAGGAGGGGAGGGGGGAAAGATTCCAAAGTGGAAAAGTAGAAAGAAAGAAGAAAAAAAAAAAGATTTGTCAAGCTTCTATCAGCTTTCTATGGAAAGGAAGTTTTTTTTTAAAAAAAAGCAAAGAAATCCACTTATTAGAAGAAATGCTGTTTTATTGACACATGATTTTAACTTCTGGGATACATGTTCTGGAATCAAGTATCCTATCTTCTGCTTTCCTAAGATAACATTTCTGCCTCCAACTAGAAGATAGGAACTGCTAGGATGCCTACATACCCATTGCTAAAAAAAAAAAAAAATGAAACCCATTGCATACGAAAACAAAGAATGCAAGTATGTGTGCTCCGTACAGATGATATCCCTCTGCATTTGCTCATTAATAGGTAGAAATGCAAATTTAATTTGCCCTACATGAAACAGAAATACAGGATCATCCGTCCTGGAGAGGATTGTTAGATTAGATGTTCACTGGAACATCTGGTGTCCCAAAAGGCAACTGGATTTTGTTTTTCCTGAAGATCCTTTGCTTCTCATCCAAGAAGCTTCTCCAGTTCCGAAGGGAAGAAGCTTTTTTGGATGTGAAGCGAAACGTCTTCAAGGAACAGCAAAGGAAGTCTTGAAAAAAAGCACCTTTGGGACAACCACGGATGACTGAAAAGCTCCGTAGACATCTCACCAGAAGACTGTTATAGAAAGGAAACATCTGGTCTCCCCCCCTCCCTTTTTTTTTTTTAAAGCTTTGGACTGAGCCAGTTCCATGAAAGGGATACGGGATGGACAGTTGGGTGGGGGGAACTTTAGAAGAGAGTTCTAAAGTGGAAGAGGAACCACCAGAAGAAACGATAACAAAACCTGGGAACTCGATCAAACCGATTCATATTTTTTTTCCTTTATATTTTTGTTTCCTCCGACCCATCCACTACTGTGTATCTCTAACCAGACCAGGCCAATCATAGCTCCAAGGATGACCCCACAGTTGCCTAGCAACCCTCTAGCTGTTATGGGAGATCCAATCACAAAACTCTCCCTTCCAAATTATCTGAAACTGTAAGTGACTTCACTCATGTTGTCATCGACCTCTCTCCGATGACGCCATGTGGCCAGTTGTAATCTTGTTGCATGAACTTGACGTTGATCTTTCTATATCTCTGCTTTATTTATTTATTTATTTATTTATTATTATTATTATCAGTTCTTCTTCCCACCCACCCCTTCCTCTTCTCTTCTGGCGGTTGTGCAGTGCCATATTGATGCCCATGATGGATAGTTTTTGGAGTGCTGATTGGTCAGTCTTTTTACTAGTTGTGGATTCTTTGAGCCCATAAATTCCACTTTGTCCTCCTTTGTATCTTCTTCTTTTCCTCTCTGTTGTGACGTGACAATGATGTATGTGCCCTTTATGTATGATCATGATGGCTGGATAAAACGGTTGGGGTTGACCTAAGAAATCAGGTTGTAGAAGGAATAGCAAGATACGTTACTCATTTCCCTATCTAGCTTCCCAGCTCCCCAAACATGACACACTCTCTGAAGTTAACTCAAAAGATTCCTTTATTAGGAGCGCCGGCAGCCCCGGCAAAAGTTTTCTCTCTCAACGCAGGCTAACAAGTCTGTCCGGCCGGGAGATGAATAGTTGTCTGCCACACCTATTCATCTCCACCCCCTGCCTTTTATCCCCAGAACTAGGGTGAGATTTCGCTAGCAGCGGTGGCTCTTCCGTCCCAAGGACCAGCCCATAGATTTCCACTGCTCTCCTCTCCTCTGCCTTCTGTGCATCTGTGCATCAGGCACTGGACCCAGCTGTTCTTCCTCTTCCTCATCAGCCACCTCCAGACCTGGGGTCTGTTGACTCTCCATCTGGGGGTTGACGGACGGCCCAGGCTCTGCCTCTGTCTCTCTCTCTCTCTGACAGCTCCATTCCCTCTTCCCCCTCGGAGCTCTCAGGTTGCCTTATCGCTGGCCCTGACTCCCACACCATCTCCTCCTCCTCTGATTCGGCTGCCGGAGGGACCGGCAGCCAACGGGCCACAACACCCTGTTTTCCTCATGCGACTTCCGATGTGTTGGATCTGAACTTTCATAATCCTCTTCTCTGGGTTGTTCAAGCAGCATCTAGAGAACTATCTTACAGAGGTACTTTAATTTGGATTTCTGCTTTGGAGGTTTGGATTAAATGGCCCCTTCCAATTCCTAGGATTCCGAACGTTTATGGAAACTCAAGTCCAACATATCTGAGGATCGCCAGGCTTGAAAATTATAATTGTTTATATTTATAGTTGCTGCATTACCCCCTCAAAAAAGGACTATCATTGCACAAGCTTAAAAACCATAAGGACCTTCCTTTGGTTGATACCCAATGCTCTTTTATAGCAGATAAGAGCAAGCGGATGCTTTGCCTGCATAAGATTCAGAGTCCATTCCCTGCATTTCCAAAGGGTGCTGGGAAGAAGTATCTGAAACTTGAGGGAACTTGCCAATAAGCTCACAGTACTGGATCAACAGATCAGGGATCCGATGTGGTATATAAGCAGCTCTGAACTGTGATGGTTCAACAGCAGCGTCAGTTCCGATTAGAATTTGGACGAGACACCCCCTAAGACCAGAAGTTGGACAAGGAGGTCAAAAACCAATCCACAAGAAGGCAGTGTTGTTGCCAAGATCATTAAGATGATCCTCTAGATCATGGGTCTCCAACCTCGGCAACTTTAAGCCTGGAGAACTTCAACTCCTTCTGGGAGTTGAAGTCCTCCAGGCTTAAAGTTGCCAAGCTCGGAGACCCCTGCTTTAGATCACTAAATCCCCACAAGTCAATTGCATCTCAAGGGATATTTTCTTTTATACTTTAATGTAAATATATTCAATAGACAGGAGGGGGGCGGGAACTCTGAAACCTGACCTAAAGGGACATGTAAGAGTCCATCCACATCTCCTGACAATCCCTTGGACGTAAATGGAACTGGAGAATCTTGGCCCAGTCATACATTTAAAAGTCAACCGGGGGGCATTTAGAACCAATTCTTTTTTCTGTGAGATGGAGAGACACCAGTTAAGATTCCAGGTTAAGAGAAATCCTAGAGCGGTCTTTCTCAACCTTGACCCCTTTAAGATGTGTGGACTTCAACTCCCAAAATTCCTCAGCCAGCCATACTCAATTCTGGGAATTGAAGTCCACACATTTCCAAGACTCTGAACACAGTGCTTCTCAACCTTTGCGATTTTAAGACAAGTGGACTTCACCTCCCAACTTCAGCATGGCTGCCTGGAGAATTCCCTGGGAGTTGAAGCCCACATGTCTTAAAGCAGCCAAGGTTGAAGAAGGCTGTCCTAGAGACTAGCTAGGCTTCAGAATCCAGCTTTTTTGGAGGGCGGACATTGAATGCTGTTGTCAGAGTTTCAAGTAACATCCTCAATGAAAGAAAACTCCAGAGCTTGAGTTTCTTCAAAGTTACATTGTATTAGAGATGTCATATTGGCACATCTCTCAGGGACGCGGTGGCTCAATGGCTAAGATGCTGAGCTTGTTGATCGAAAGGCCGGCAGTTCAGCGGTTCGAATCCCTAGTACCGCGTAACGGGGTGAGCTCCCGTTACTTGTCCCAGCTTCTGCCAACCTAGCAGTTCGAAAGCACGTAAAAAATGCAAGTAGAAAAATAGGGACCACCTTTGGTGGGAAGGTGACAGCGTTCCGTGCGTCTTTGGCATTTAGTTATGACCATGGAGATGTCTTCAGACAGCGCTGGCTCTTTGGCTTTGAAACGGAGATGAGTACCACCCTCTAGAATCGGGAATGGCTAGCACATATGTGCGAGGGGAATCTTTACCTTTACCTTTATTGGCACATCTGGGAAAACCCGAATCTGAAAGTTTCCAGGTTTTCCCCACCCAAAGGAAAGTTCAAGTCCCTGCCCAACACCCACAATCAAGTCCATTACGTGGCCCAATCAAACATCATTCCAACTGGAGATGCCTCCCAGTTCCAGCCTTCCAGGTTGCAGGGCAAGATGTCCTTGACTTCTTGAGAAAGGAATGTTATTATGACTATATATCACCCTTGCTCCATACAATCCCCCCTCCCAGTTTCCCACAGTAGTAAACGTGGCAGGTCTGAAGGCCTAATACAAAAGATGGCTTCCAAGCCTGGCCGCTGTTGCCCTTTGGAGGAGCCCCAATTAGGACATGATTCCCTTCCCCCCCATATCAAGACTTTTGGAGGCCTTCAGTCAGCAGAAGTTCCTCAAAGGACGACGCGTGTCTTCCTCTCTTCGCCCTCCTTCACCTTCTCCCTCTGTCTTGCAGATTGGATGCCACGCGGCATACGAAGAGTATTTCCCCTTGTCCCATGTGCCGTATCCAGAACTTGTTAACTTTCTTTGCAACATATCACGGCGGAAAAAAGGAAGCGATAAAAAGAGTTCAACGCAGAGGCGAAGCAGAGGTGCTCGGGAAAAGAAAGAGCTCGTTCCGTTCTATATTTTTTTTTCTTTCTCTCTCTCTCTCTCTCTCTCTCTCTTTCTCTCTCTCTCTGTTTTTTTTTTCCCCCGCCCTTTCTTTTTAAATTTTTTTCAAATCGGCTGGAACTCGGTTTTTCGTTTTCGTTTTGGGTTCTGTTTCGGTTTTTTGTTGTTGTTGGTTTTTTTTGACGATGACGATGATTTTGGTCTCTTTAAGGCAAGAGAAAAAACACACAAAACAAAACAAAACAAAACAAACTACCAAGGAGGTGGTTGTGGCCAAATCTTGGACCTGAGGGAAAGAGACTTGTGGTGCTCTTTGCCGACTCGAAACTCCATGGATGGGAACGGGGCCGCTGTAGAAGACTTTTTTTCTTTTGGGAAAAAAAGAAAGAAAGAAAGAAAGAATTATAATGAGGAAGGGCGAGGAAAAAACAGAAACAACAAGCGTCCCTCACAGCAGAAGAGTGGGACTTTGTGAGAGAAAAGGTTGTGGGTATACGATGCCTGCATCCGGGACCAGCTCCTCTCAAAAGACACTTGTCCGATTTTTTCACGATTCAGAAGAGGGAGGGAACGAAAGACCTAAAACCAAAGCTGACGGATTTGGACCAGGGAAACGCCTTTGTTTTCAACGGGGAATGAAAAAAACAAAAAACAAAAAGGGAATTTGTTTTTCTCCGCGTCTGTTTGGGAAAGGAAAGAAAAGAAAGAAAAGAAAAAAAACCAACACCAGTTAACTAAGAGGATGTTGAACCTAACCGGAGAGAGATAGAGAGAGAGAGATATATAATATGTCTATATATCTTTTATCCCATGGATTGAGTGAATAAGAGTCACAGGATTTTTTTTGCCCCAGTCCTGGGAGATTGGATTAACTTCTTTCAAAGTCATATCATTCCTTAGAGTTTAGGGACCAAAGGACTATTGCTTTTTTAATATATATATAAATATAAATATATATATATATATATAAATTAATTAATTTAAAAAACAAAAGAAAAAAACTCAAAGAGGTTTAAAAAAAAAGACGCAAGCAAGCAAGCAAACAAATCAAAAAGAAAACAAGAAAAAACAAACCACACACACACACACACACACACACACACACACAAACACACACAAAACCCGCTTCAAATCCAAGCTACAAGTCGTCTCCAAGAGAAAGAAGTGAGCAGCAAGCAGAAGGTCGCTTCGAGAACAACCTGGCTTAAATAATGCTGGTGGCTTTGTGACTGCATTGAATGCTGTAGGGTTTTCAAGGAGCAAAACTGGGGGGGCGGGTGGGGGAGAGGGGGTGTGTGGGGGGGGGGGGGAAACTATTTATCCCGGGTAGCAATTCGTGCTCTCTCTTCCACGCCCCCTCCCCAGATAGAGGCTTAGTTTTCAAGGAATTTTGTTTGGGGAAGGAGAGGAGAGGAGAATAGGGCAGCTGCCCCTGATCTGCATCCCCCCTGTCGAAAAGGAATATTTGATCAGTGCCAGAAGAAACACAGAACTAATGTGAACATCCATAGTGGTCTTCTGAAGACCGTTAGACCTTGGGGCTTGAACCTTTCTCTGCTGAGACTGCTCTATTTGGGACCGAGAAGGCCACCTTGGGCCTTGTAGTACCACAGGGGAAACCCTGCTCCCAAAAGTAGGCAGAGTTTATCCAGAGCAAAACTAAATTTGATTTAAGTTGCATTCAGATATGTTTATTTCCCATGTACCTAAGTATGTTCTTTGGCCATTAAATGTCACCCTTTGGTGCAGGGGTGGGTTTCACTTAACCTTTGCTATCGGCTTGCTCGTGTGTGCTCCACTTCTGCGGATTCACAGAGCATATTTGATGACATCTGGACGGGTGGGCGGAGCCTCCCACCGCTTCTGCTACCGGTTCGCCCGAACTGGGATGAACCGGTAACAACCCACCACAGCTTTGGTGGCAACTTCTGGAGGTCTTTGGAGGATGAATCCAAGACTTTAAGGGGTGGCAGAAGATCCTGGGGACTCAGTACCCCAATGTCCATGGACCAGGAATAGCTGTCTAGGATTTAGAGCAGTCGTTCTTAAACTGGGGGTATTTACCCCCGCAAAGAGTTACTGTGGGCCTATCCTGCGGTCATGGAGCAATTTGTAATTGCTTCTTTGTGAGTTGAGTTGCATTTTAGGATGGCTGCTCTCAAGACACTTGTGTAAAATGAGAGAGTCTAGGGGTTTGTGTGTGTGGAGATAATTACATTATTCAAGACTAGAAAAAGGAATTATTGGATCAAAGCATTTGAAAACCACTGATTTAGAGACAGTTTTATCCTTCTCCAGAGTTAAGAGCTGGGCTTAGAATTAAACCCGGGATGTTCTTTGTGTTGTCTCATTGGAAAAAGAACCTGTTTTTTTTTAGTCAGAATTCTTGCCTGCCCAGATTAATGCAATTTACTCCCAAGTAAGAGTGTGCAAAATGGCATCCTTACTCTCTCTTTGAGGTCCTCTGGTTGCCCCACATTCCAAGAAGGAAAAGGTGTAAAGACTTGATCATCGACCCCCAAGACTAACATATTTTAAATGTATAATGTATCTTGCTTTTCAGTTCACTTTAGTATCCCCTCAAAAAATTAAAAAGAGTTTAGGCTGCAGAAACTGCCTTCATGCATTACTACCCCAATCCCCTCTGGAAATAATCTATTTATGTAAAAAAAAAAAAAAATCAAACCCAGATTCAGGGTGAATCAAGAAAAGCCCACCGCTGCCCAACATCTGGCCACCGTTTTACTAGTTTTAGCCAAAATAGAAAGTTCCCACTTTAATTAGTGTACTCTTAGAAAACGTGTGCGTTCATTGCATGATTTGCCAGAAAAAAATTAAAATAAATGGAAAAGCGTAATGTAGGGGCCAACTTTCTCTCGATCAACTGAAGTCAAAAGGGTGGCGATTATATTTCATATCTGTCTTTAAACCCAAGTCAATTTTTGAGTCATTTCTCGGTCTTTTTTTGGACTGAAGGGGCAGCTGGTAGATTGGGGTTGCATCTGTCCTTGCCTACTCCCAGTAATCTTTTCACTGAGCCCACCCCCCAAAAAACCATAGAACAAAGCTTTTAAATTTTCTAGAGCCACCAAAGGTGTCGAAGAAGTTTTTCTAAACCATATCTCAAGGAGTTACGTATACTTGTTCTTAAAAGTTTAAAATGTCTAGAAGAGGAAGGGAAGCTGTATTCATCCATTACAAGGCAAAATCAAAAACCATATTAAAATTACACCTTCATAATGTGTATGTATGTTGTATGTGTGTAAACACATGCATCCATCCATCCATCCATCCATCCATGCATACATACATTTCCTTTTTAGCCTTCACATGAAGGACAATTCTAGACACCTGGAAGGCAGCTAAGCAGCTGTCAGGATTCCAAGTAACACCCCCAACGAAAGAAAACTCCGTTGAGTTATTTATTTATTTATTTATTTTATTAGATTTCTATACTATTTCTGAACAGCCAAAAGTTAAAACACAGAAATACAAAATTTAAAATAGATTAAAACAGATTAAACAATTTGGCTAAATTTTAAAAATATCCCATAATTAAACAAATTAAAATTAGTGTTTAAAATTTGAATTTAAAAAATTTTAAAAGGGAGAAGATTTAGGCCAGGCCAGCTTGATGAAATAAAAACGTTTTAAGCGCGCGGCGGAAGGTGCGCAGATCCGGGATCCTCCGTATCTCCGGGGGGAGCTCGTTCCAGATCGTAGTTTCCTCAAAGTTCCATTTTATTAGAGACGTCCTATTGGCACATCTGGGATAACCCAAAACTGAAAGCTTCCAGGTTTTCCTCACCCAAAGGAAAGTTCAAGTCCCTGTCCAGCACCCACATGTCCATCATATGGTCCAATCAATACACTGTTCCAACTGGAGATGCCTCCCAGTTCCAGCCCATCAGGTGCAGGGCATGATGGCCTTGACTCTCTGAGAAAGGAATGTTATTTTGACTACATATCACCCTGGCTCAATACAATCCCCCCCACTCCCAGTTTCCCACAGTTGTAAATGTGGCAGGCCTGAAGATCCAACGAAAAAGATGGCTTCCAAGACTTGTAAAGGGACAATTCAGTAGAGGCTTTCATGAAAGACAACATCCCAGAATGACAATGAACTCTTGTCAGTTTCCACCACCACCTGTCTTGGACCACTAAACATCTCCTCCCCATGGCCATCCTCAGATGATCCAGAAAGCGGATCGTCTGAGCATGGATGTAAGAATGCAACCGCTTTAATTCCATGAATAAGCACCTTTCCAGGAGTCAGGATTTCACCCATACTTACCTCCCCTCACCTCGAGACTATAACTCCTAAATCTCTGATGAGTGATGGAGAAGAACTCATCGTTCTACCATGCTGAATTTTGCTTCAAAAGAAGCTTTTAGAAAAAGTATCTCCTCTCTGCCCTTCACCTTAGGAATTCTGGCCTTCACCAGGAGATTCTTCCACAGACATATTGAAAAGATGCAGTCCTTGTTTCCAGTTTTACTTATTTATTTTGCATTTGAACATCTCTCTCGGTCTAGGTTGATTATAGATGGAGGAGAAAGAGGCAAGCAGCAGATCCGTTTGCATTTGAAGGACCTTATCTCTGTGTCTCTTGTTGCACTGGTACGATCAGTAGCCAAATTTAATATTGCTTTCCAGAATCCGCTGGAGAGGATGAGGTCAGGGGAGGGGAGGGAGGGAGGGAAGGAAGGAAGGAAGGGGAATTCAATTAAGAAAGTGCCAAATAAGAATGAAAGACAGATAAGAGTCATGAAGGGTCTGGAGGTTATATCTGTCCTTCATGAGTCACGTCTCCCAATGCGGTCACTCGGCCACTGGACTTCTTCTTCGGATTCTTCTCTTGTATTTTTTTTTTCTTTTCCTCTCTTTTTCCTTTTCTGCTTTTTTTTAAAAAAAAACTTTTCGTGTTTCACTGTTAACATTTCCT